GGGATGCTTGCTACTGCCCACTGCCACTAGCCTTCCAGGCATGCTATCCTACTCCCTGCCCCCATACATCACTTCTTAAAGTCTTCCCAATAGTTTAACAACCTTTCTCAAGCTCCACCTCAAATTTACTCAAATTTAGTTTCTAGAGAACCATGAGGGCTAAAAAAAGATGAGGAGAAGTTTCTTAAAAAGCCTGTGGTAAATTTAAAAAAAAAAAAAACAACCCACACACGCATAACACATTACTTGGAAAGGGCAAAAAAATTAAAAACCTCTACAACAGTAGCCATCATCTGCAGGCAAAATTTCTCCCTCTGGTTTCCTCATGCTCTGTGTCCTCACATCTGCAAGACCATTCACCCACTCCTTCACTTCACGCTTTCTGCTTGTTCTTCCTAAAAATGAGTGACTGCTCTTAGAGCCCCTAAGGAGAGAGATCTGAAACTAACTAGTTCTAACATCCTCTCTGAGACGGGACAACTTCGAAGTACCATCAGGCGACTCTCAAAGTATCTGGAAAAAAAAGTGTTACCCTCTGCTACAATCAGCCTCCTGGAGTGAAATCATCTGAATGGAGACCCATCAAGGTGAAGACTTCTTGACAGCTCTCTCATTAGTATGATCAAACCCCTACAGCACCTATGCAGCATTCAAGCTCTAAGACGCATCCCAGAGCCACGGTGCACAAAGGGCACAAGACAGTTTACTGTGATGCTCTTCTTGGCAAATTTCCATAAACATTTAATGCATTCCATAGACATCCCGAATCAGAGATACTCTTACAGAGATATTCAGTCATCCATTTCAATTGTTGATCTCTGTGATTAACTACATTAACAGGTTAAAACAAGGTGAGAACACCCAAAGGCACCTAGTGATTAAATTTTTGTCTGCATTTTCAGTTTCAGGCCAGACTGACATACAAAGAATGCCAAAGCTCTGTCCAGCGCATATATCCTACAGAGTCCTCCCCACTCGCATCTCATCCTGCTCCTGTCCTCAACATCCCTAACAGCTTTATGGACCAGCCAGCCACTCTTTCTCTTCACTGGTGACACATTTATCTGACTTCCTCCCTAAGCTTCAAGGCATTTCTGCAGTGCTTTTGTTTTCTAACTACCGCTTTCAGAAGCGTGGCTCTCATTTAAATTTTGATTAATATTAAAGCCCTTTTCAAACGTGTAATATGAAATTGATTTAGGGTCATTTTGGGAGAAAAAGGGAGAAGGAGGAAATACCTGTTTATCAAACTAGTACTGTAGACAAGTAGACAGTGAATAAAGATTTAAAAAAAAAAACAAAAAAACTCTCCTTTCTAAAGTGAAAAAGGAAACACACATGAGAAATTCAGTATACTGAACAACTTGTGGTTGGATAATAGGAAAAGAAAACCACAACCTTGATAAGAACATTCTAAACCCAAGTATTAGTTTTCTTTGTACTGCTATAACACTAAGTGAGATAACTTGGATAGGCAATTGTCCACCAATCGATTACCCAAGAGTGTACAGTCTGAATAATGAACTGACATATTGGAGGCTATTAACATCTCCTGGCAACAAAAGCTCTCCTCAGAAAATGAGAAATCCCAAAGGGCAGACCTAGCCAACCAAGGGCCACTGCAGAAAACGAAACCCATCACCTATTTGTAGCACTTATTGCAACAATATTTCTGTGACTGCCATTCAGCATTTTTTCTCCTGAACAGCCATTAACTGGTCCAAGGAATATTCTCTCTGTAACCATAACAGTACGACAATTGTCCTCAACAGGCTTCCAAATGCAAAGAGCAGAAGCTCACCTCCCTTGCACAAAGGATGGACAATTTCATTTTAAGAACTCCTACTTGATTGCTATGTCAGCAACGAGCCAAAGTTCTGATTAGCTACTATGAGGACAAAAACAAAACAAAACAACAGCAAAAGGAGAGATTTGGTTATGGGAAGAATCCTCTTGAGAGGAAGAGGGAGGAAGGGAGGGAGGGAGGAAGGGAGAAGGATAGAAGGATAGACATTCTTTCGCTCCACCTTCAATAAATTACAAATTGGCTTGCCTCTCTTGAGAGCACAGTACCAATCCAACTGTTCCTACAAAACATCAGAACATCTGCATCTTTGTAATATCAGAGTAATGAGTTTGACACACTCAGCTGAGTCTACCATACTGAACAAGTTTCCTCTCCATCAGCAATGCAAGCTACTGTTCTGCAGATCAGAACAGTCAGCTTCCCAAGACAAAGCAGCTCCTTCCTGGAAACGGAATACAGAGCTGCCTTATCTCGGGAAAGGGAAGAAAAAAAGGACAGTCTTCGCTAAGTGGCAAAGTTCTCACCTTGAAAGCTTTTCCCCTTGATTGGCATGGAACAGCTAAGGTCATGGAATTTTTAATCAGACACCTGCATAACTACTAAATAGTTATTAATTATATCAGAGAGGCAAGACCTCAGAGGAAAGGCAAAGCAAACAAAGAACCCAAAGAAGCCTCCTCTGTTGTTGGAAAAAATTGGTAATTAAAAGTCATGAGTGCACTGAAGAGCGAGGGAACAGCATCACAGCCAGTTTTCAGGACTCAGGAGCGACTCGAATACAAAACAGCAGGCTTGCCTCCCCAGGGAAATTATAGGGTACTGCTTTACAAAGGAGCGAGCGAGAGAGCGAACGAAATAATCCTCTTTAGTCAGGATCTTTATTTGCCCCACAAAGAGGCTTTGGACAAGGACAGCACTGCCAGTCAGCCCCAAGGGGTGTCTTCCATTTCTGGCAGCTCCAGAAAGCCTCCTCCTGGCCTTGTATCAAGGAGTTCCTATACCGAGAAGTGTACAAGAGAATGAGACCTTGTGTTCAAGGCAGTCCAGCCTACAGAGAGCCCTTGTGCATGACTCCAGCTAAAATGTATTCCAGTGAAAATACTTTCTTTATCTCAATGAGCTGAGCTCAGCCTCAGCGACTACGCTTTCTCTAGTGCCTGCCCTTCGTAGCATCACCATCAAAAATTGAAGAACTTTAATCTGCAATTAAAATACCCAACAGAAGGAGGAACATCGTGGCCCTGCTCACATCATGACAAATCATACTAGGCAGGCATGATGCCCACTGAAACCAAGGCAAGTGCTTTTGCTTCTCAGTCTATGAGAAGATTAATGCTGACCTCCTCTTTCCATACCAATGATACTATGTGCCATTTCAGGGCACTGAGATACCAAATGTGGCATTGGCTGAAAAAGGCACCACACTATCTACCATCATTTGCAGGCAAACACAAGAATCTCCCTGACCTGCTATATAGGCAGACCCAATATTAAGGAAAAAAATCTATGCAAGAAATGGCAAGACTGGGCTGAATCCCTGAACGGATCAGTTTGGATAGACCATAGGACCATGGTGAGAACAGCTAGACACCCTCTTGCGCTTGGGCCTCCCAATGTACAAAGAGAGAAGCGCAAAACACAAAAAGCCTAAAGAAAACCCAGTTTGCAAGCCCCAGAGATCAGAACAAAGAGCCATTTTCTACTCCACTGCTCTAAGTGCAACGGCTTGAAAAGACCCATCTTCAAGATACCTTAAATAAGAAAGTCTTCCATTTCAAATATGAGGAAGAAGGATTTCAGTATAACTATGGCAGAAATACCACAGCAATTTGTGACAGTCTGACACCGATGTATAAGTTCATAACAAATAACTTCTTGCTAACAGCAGCCATTTGACTATACTTAACTTTGACAGTACATGAATCCAGCAAACTTATCAAAGTGCATCCGGTCCTTCCTCGACGCTTTTCTCAGCTTCCATTGCTCACCAACGCCCTTTGACTGCTGCAGCCTTGTCACAGCACTCCACTTCCTACTACTGGATGTTAAGACCCAGCTCCCTTCCCCAGCATGAAGCAGCATACCTGTTGAAGATATCAGCTGACACCTTTTGCAGATACTGAAGAGCATCTGCCACCTGCGGAACAGCCTCCTCCCTGCGCAAGTCTGGTTGGATCAGGGGGACTGAGTACGTTTGCCCTTCCAGAAAGTGCTTCTGGGCCATTGTAGCCATTATACCTGAAGGAAAGAGCAAATAGGTCATTATAACAAATGCACTTCCATTTTAATCACAGCTCTTAGCCACGGACTTCAATCCTCTGCTCCCCTCATTATTTTAGAAAAGTGTTTGCAAGGCAAACAGGAAGTTGAGGAAGCAGAAACAAGGAGTAAAGTTGACATATTGGATTTTCTAGAAATCTCAGGCAGCTACAGAGAGGTGGGAGTCTCTTGTTTACCTGAATGCTCCAGGGAAACATAATTTTATTTTTAGCATGACACTTAAAAATCTCAGCTCAGTGTTACACTGAAAACAAAGACCACACTTTGGAATAAAGTCAGTTCAAGATGGTGATAAGATTCTTCAGAGATCACCCTGCCCCCTCTCCCATCCTCATATTCTGGATGGATATATTTCAGGTCATTCAACACGATTAGCAAAACATTTCATTTCACACTTCTGCTCCAAGAACCACCACTGCTCTCTTCCAAGAACAGCAGCTATGAAATTATGGGGCACGCATGTGCACACACACCCTTGCTCCAAGTAGGTTAACGAGAGTTACTCCTTTCTAGTGCTCTATTCTCAGGCTCCCGGGAGCTGCTCGTTCCTTCTGGTGAATGGATTTTTCAGTAACTATCTTGACAGAAGCCTCGCTTTAGGAACCTTTCACGTACAAAACTTAAATGATGAACACAAGTGAAAGACTGCAGTTAACACATGAATCAGAGCCACATGCATACTCCTAGATGCAGCTGGACAAATGACACTACTCCTCCCTGAAAGCCAACAGTCAAGATAAGGCTGTGTATCATCCATGTTTCCATCCTGCCAGCTGTACTTATCTATCCCTCAGTTGTTCCCAAAGAGCCTAGCCCTATTCTGTTTTACTTCATGCATCACTGGCAGACAAACTTCAAATCCAGTCTTTAGTGGCCAGTTTGCACGTTGATTAGATTTCTTGACTGAACATATTCAGCAGACAGAAAATTATTATTTTTACCTGTAAAGCACGCCAGTTAATATAAGAAGGAATATGTCTAATTCTGAGACTGCATTTTCTGATCTGCTGACCACAACCAAGCTTGAGCCCTTTTGCTTTCAAGGCTACTATTTGACTGACAAGGTGGAACAAAGCGACAGCCTGATGCACTGAGCATGCAGTTACAGGATACTTTGGCTTCAGTAGCAAAGCCAGTTCACGACCCTCCCCGTCGCAGGTCACAACCCTTTTGTTGCATCAATACTGCTAACTTTTGGGGTGCCGACTTTTAACTCGAATCATTTTAGTGACCAGTGACCCGATTTAATGCAGCTGCATAAACATCTGTAATTGCCCAGTCATGAAACAGAGCGGGAAGAAAGGGCAAGAACAGGATGTGTTAAACTAGCTTCACCATCAAAACCACTGTCACGTAATCCTGACTCACAGTATGAGAAGGTCGAGCTTTTTCCAAATCATGACGATACAGGCCCAGATTCTCACCAACTGGCTCAGTGACCCTTTTAAAACTAGCCTCAACTCAGCAGCCAACTGACAGATGCTTACACTCCAAAACAACACTGTCCTAACTGCTACCAAACTGCTTCTTTCCTAAAACTCAGAAGCTAGAAACTGCCCTTCAGGTCCCATTGCTCCCTTGCAAAGAAAGGAATGCACAGTAGTGGAGCAAAGCAGGAAAAGCACCAGGTGCTCCTGCTTGCACTGTCACAGTTTGGGTGTCAGGCAATTTCAGCTTCACAAGCTCTCAACAGCCCTCTCACACAAGCTCCAGGTTCTCTCCTTTACAAGGAAAACATACTAGAGAAACGTGGCAGACTCTGTGGGAACTGCTGTAAGATACAGATGCAAGAAACAATCCTTCCTGAGTAAGGTAATAAATTGAGAGACTTATAGCAAGACAGACCAAAAACAGCAACAACCTTCTAAGTGACTGGACTTGGGCAAAATCACATGCTACAACTGCTATTTATTACTTCTTGTGACCAAACCAACTGGAGAAGGAGGTCAGTTTTACAAGCGCTTCCAAGCAATGCACTGGCCATGTGCTTAGAATAAAAATGGAATTGCTTGCTACAGCAGATAGGGCCTGCAGGAACAAGGGAGATATTAATGGAGACAATTCAGGTTATTCCCAACCAAGGCCAGGAAGGAACGAATGTTCCTTCCACCAAAGAAGGAAGGAAAAAAAGGAAGGAAGGAAAGTTCCAAAGACTGAACGTTACTCAGCAAGACTGACTCTTCCTTTATCTTGACCTTCAGGGCACGGAGAAGGAAGTAGCAGATGTCCTTGCCCTGGTCCATCATCCTTCCCCTCTACTCAGCCCTGATGAGGCCACATCTGCAGTACTGTGTCCAGTTCTGGGCTTCTCAATACAAGAGAGACACGGAGCTATTAGAGCGAGTCCAACGGAGGGCTACGAAGATGATGAAGGGACTGGAGCATCTCTCCTATGAGGAAAGGCTGAGAGAGCTGGGCCTGTTCAGCCTGGAGAAGAGAAGACTTAGGGGGGGATCTTATTGATTGATATAAATATCTGAAGGGAGGGTGTCAAGAGAACAGGGCCAGACTCTTTCAAGTGGTGCCCAGCAACAGGAGGAGAGGTAACAGGCACAAACTGAAACACAAGAAGTTCTGTTTGAACATAAGGAAAAAACTTATCTACTATGAGGGTAACAGAGCACTGGAACAGGTTGCCCTGAGAGGTTGTGGAGTCTCCTTCCCTGGAGATGTTCAAAAGCCATCTCTATAGGGCCCTGGGCAATGTGCTCTGCACAACCCTGCTTGGGCAGAGAGGTTGGACTAGATGATCTCCAGAGGTCCCTTCCAACCTCAACCACTTTGTGATTCTGTGATTATCAGAATTAAGTAGCACATCAAAATAAAGTGCCACAAATTAGAAAGATTGCAACTTTTCTACCCTGCCCAATGGATGCCAAGCTTTCCTATAACTTATACACCAAAAGTACAAATAAGCTGCTTGTGAATTGCACATAGAAGTGACTTCCTGCAGAGCAACAAACTAGTTCCCATATCATCACAGAAGCTTACAGAGGTAGCTATCATGTCTCAGCAGAAAGAGCTGCATGCTGGAATTACGAAGGCTAACATGAAGTACTCGGATGCTATGGTGAGAAATGGGCATATAAAAACACAAAGCAAGTATGATTCACAAGAGCAGGTGTCAGATCACCCAAAAGATTTGATCATTAGTGGTACTGACCACCTGTGGATCATGAAAAGTAAGAAAAAACAGCAGCATGGCTATTTCTTCTGATCAAAGAGAGAACAGCTGCAGGATCTGGAGGCTCCAGCCACTCTTAACACAATTTTTCTACACCAGATTTCCTGATCAAGACAAATGTGCTCTGGTGTTATATAATAACCTGCCTTGCCTTATTAAATTGCAAGGGAAGAGAAAAGGCTGTTTTCTTGCTGCACCACCTGCTTAGGTGTGCTGTATTCTGATTTATAAGTTCTGACTACAGATACCAAATGCTCATATTTGCGTTTTTGCCTTAAGTTTTCTGTGAGCTGGTACAAACCCCAAGTGACTTCCTGAAAAGATTGTCCAGACTGGTGGAAGATAACCATCAGTCTGGACAATCCTTTTACCAGCTCACTGTGCCCAAAGCCGGCCTCCCTTTCTCAGTTCCCGCTTTCACACTAGCAAAAGCTGAGGGAAATAGCTGTGGGAAAGTCAACATCCATTTCCAACATACTACCTCCCCTTTCCAAAAGGCTGACACCAGGACAGATAAGCTGAGCAGTCCAGGGTTTTCAAGTATCTGGAACCAGCAACTGGTCATACTGTCCAGTCATCACAGCTAAGTCTACAAAGCTCCGATGGCTACACAGAGATTGGCAGCTCCAAATCAGAGAAGAAAGCATACAATTCAGTGCTCTGACTGAGCAGAGAATCGCTCAACCTACTTTGCTAACCTCGTGGGGATACAAGTCCTCCTAGATTCAGGAATAAAACTCCTTATATCATGGCTAAGCTCAAACGAACTTGTCATGGAACAAAAAGAGTCTGTAAAGGAGTAAAACTCCTAAGTCCTTTTGAAAATATCACTCTGTGGAGGACCAATCATTGAGACGACTATCTACCTTAAAAAACAACAACACTCTTATAATACCTTCATTTTTCAAGGGAACACAAAGGAAGTCATATAATAAGAAAATAATTTGGTTTCCCCCAACACAGGCAGTGATTTCAAAGCTACCTAGGAGTGCTTACCAGATGCATACTCAGCTGTGAAAATAAGGAGAAAATAAAGCAAGCCAGCAATACTAATTGCTCCCTTAACTTGCTTCAAGGGATAACAAGGGGCAGGCAGACAGGGAGAGGAGGGCTTAAAAACTCTGGAGAAAAAAAAAAAAATCAGCGTTTATTTTGCAAACTTGTAAGGACTGCTTTAGAAATTACTGTGCTGCTGCTGCTGTCACTGCACTGGAAAGACAACACTAACTAAAGGCCATTAAGTCCCACTTGCAGTACAGTAACATCTCTAAGAACTGCCAGACTCTAGCCCTGTGCCTCACCTTTGCAGGGTCCTAACTAAAGACCAATTGACTTGCAGTCACTTGCAAACTGATCAGCCAGCAAGGACACAAACTGCATAAGCAATATGCAGTAAAACACATAGTCTGCACATCCTCCATTGCATACCAATATAGCACCAACAGCAGGATAGTCTCATGCCGGGAAGAGACCAAATTGGAAATGAGCTGCAGGTTAATATCAAACTCCCCCAAAGATGGGGTAGAGGTAAGCTTTGCACATAGCTTGTCACAAGTTGCTGATCCCTTTCACAGAGGGAACCCATATCCGTAGTTGGGTTGACAGCAAGATGCCATCCCAAATTCTTCACTGACATTAAGCTCTTGCACAGAATACTTGATATCATGTTTACTTGGATAAGCGTTGTCCCATCCTGGTTAACAAGAACAACCGAGGCCTGTTAACTTTCCTCTGCTCCAACCTAACATACATCAACACATTACCCCCAATACCTCATGCAGCTTTTAGCACTCAAAGCTTACAACGGGTAAAGATGTCTGCTGCGTGTCTCATCATAAACTTACACTGCTGTGAGTGCATCATCCCCATTATCTACTTTTTACACAGGCTTCCCACAGAATTTTAAACCATGATCAACTCTGCTGGCAAATCCAAGCCATACCCATGGCCCATGTTCAACCTTGATTATGCAAGAAACGTGCCTAGAGGCCATCCCCAAAGCAAGCAGAATTAACTCCTCCGGGAACTAAAGACATAGTTCACTTTTTCTTTCACAGGTAAAGAACGTGCTTCTGATTTTACCTGCTGCAAAATCAGATAAATGTATTGTCAAGTAGAAAGACTTAAAATGCTAGAAAAGCAAAACATGTCATGTATATGCTTCTCCTGTTCAGGGACGGGATAAGGAAATGCGTGCACATGCACATACACGGATGTAGACATGCAGCAGAAGGCATCGCTAGAAGTTCTGTATATGCCAGTGGTAAATGCAGCACAAGAGCCTAGACAACAGTCCTATTTTACTGTGAAGCAAACGATCATTCTGCCCTGTGCTGACATTCACTGGAGGGGCTTAAATTTAGTTCTCCAGCAGAACAGACGGCAGACTTATCTTGGGTAAGAGAGCAAGATGTATTTCAAGGAGTAAGGCGAGTTGCTCTCCATGCTCCCTGTGCTAAGCCAACCTTATGTTTGTGGAGGGGGGGGGTGAGGGAGGGGAAGAATGCTTTGATAAGATAAGAGGATGAAAAGTCTATTTATATTTTTTAATTAACCATGTTCTACAGTGTTATTAAGCAGCAATCAAAGATGCAGATCGTACTGATTTGATTGGCAAGAGGTGCACCATGCCGAATATTAAGGAAGTCTGTCCCTATAAATAGGTCTAATCATCACCTGAAGGCTGGAAGACGGTGATGAAAGAAAGCATTAATAAGACCAGAATTAGGCCCTGTAGCAGCCTGTACTCCACCAAGGTGCTCATGTCAGTAGGTATCTCTCATTGCAGAACGCCGAAATCCCTTACTTGCAAGCATGACTGCTTTGGGTCTCAAGACCTTCAGTAGCTATGTCAGACAAAGCTATGGAGCAGGGCTTCTTCATCTCTGGAGGAACTGTCAAGCCTGACACCTGCTAGGATTTTACTTCCCAATACTACTACTGGAGTAAGCCGAGAGCTCTCAGCTTCAGCTGTGCCCACCTTGCCCACTCCCAATGAACTAATTAAATTGGGCTGCCAGAGCTTCCCAGGCACAGAGACTGGCATGTGATACAGGCAACTGGCAAGTTTTAGAAGCTATTGCTCTCCTTCCCCCTCCTGCAAGTACATCAAGGACAAATCTACATGATAAAGTTAAGCTAGCCACACCTCTAAAAGCTACGTCTACTCCTCTGCTTCAGCTTTAGGGTGAGAGATGCAAACCATGGATTGTCAACCTCATACTTTTAGCCTATCCTCACAGGACAGGGAATTACTATCACGGGGCAGTAGCTCAGAAGAACGGAAAAATCCATGTGGAAAAAGAATCTCACAAGGCACCTCCTATTACATGCAAATACTTCCAAGGCCCCCTTTGATATTGTACTATCTATGCAGATAAGACCTTTGCAAAAGGAGTCGGCCCCCCACATCACACCACAGCCCTGCATAAACAGCAGAGCATTGAAAAGTTTGAGCTAACACTTCGCGGGACTCAGGCTCCAAATGCATTTCACACACTGGGCATCCTGGCCTTGCAGGCCAATATTCTGCCAGGAAACAGCAGAAGAGGGTTCCATCCATTGCTGAAGCAATCCCTCCTCATCTCTCCTGGCAGCAGCCATGGGAAAAGGAAAAGCTTTTTCTGAACTACTGGTATGATGCCACTGCTAACTACCAGATCCAGTGACATAATATCACTCAGTTCTCCATACCCAAATGGTGTGGAATTACTAGTGTTTATCACAAGAACATCATGCTGCACCAGAATGGCAGTCACCGTACTAGGTGTCTTTTTGTTAGTCGAATCTACATATTACTGGGTAATTGTTTAGTCCAAGCCAATATACCTTGGGATCTGCACAAAAAGCACCCAAGACCCATTCAATTTAAAGTCTATGTTTTGCTCAACCTGTTGACTACCAACACGGTACAGGAAAGAGCTGTTTAAGGTAACGCTATGGAGATATTCACTTTTGGGAACGTCAAGAGAGACTCTGGAATGAAGCTTGCATTCCAAAACTGTAGATGCTTTTCAAATTCCCTGAGTTGCAGACACAAAATACAATTAATATGCTGCTTTATAATGAAAAAGTAGCTTACGGTTGCTGACAGAGACTTGGAGAAGGGCAATAGAAGGGAAACGTGGTTTCTGCAAACCGGGTGCCTGATAGGAACATGTACTCCTGGGCCATGGGCTGTGTGAAAGAATGAATAAGATCAGTT